GGGGGGGGGGGGGGGGGGGACATTATGGAGAGAAACTTTTTATGAGACGCCGAGAGTACAGCTACCGAAGTTTTCGCTTTATTCGTAAAGTTCTAGGAGTTCATACGTAAGTACATTACTTGTCGCCACAATTAGCGTGAGAATAAGTAATGTAAAGGAGCGTCGTGAAAACTTCAATTAAGTCTTAGGTACGTGTACCGGTAGTGACGTGAACGCAGGCTAATTCCTGTCACTGTAGAGACACGAGCTATCGAAGTTTATGAAAAGTTGCATTTGAATATTAAAGTTCTTACAAGTATCGTAGTCACGATAAACGTCTTGTTCTGAAGACTTTCCACTATTTGTGTATAAGCGTCGCCATAGGTCCTCGTGAAATTGACGCCGTTCGTGCTGTTCCACGTGCCAATTTTCTTAAGTCCCTCCTTGCTGTTTAACTCGATGATGTCGAGTACGAAGTCTGAGCGAAAGCCTTGATGATCGAACTTTATGACCCCGGTGAGTCCACGCATCTCAGCCTGTGAACACAGTCGGAAAGAAACGTCGTTAAGGAAATGTGTACGAGACACGGGCAATTAAGGTATTACGAGACTCTTTGAAATTACGTAAGACAAAGTCAAAGTGAACGGATCAGTAAAGATAGAAAAGAGTAAAAAAAAAATATTTTGAATTACGTTCATCTATATCGTAGCTCGTTACGTATATATATCTATCTACAGATAATATATTACAGCTTCGTGTTGGTAATAAATTAGCGGCAAGGAATTTGCGAGCAGGTGCACCAACGCATTTCAACTTTGGACGTAAATGAAGCTCTATAAATTTCAAAAGCACGGCTGCTCTCGATGAACTTTTACTAGGACGACGTGTACTTCAGATTTTTTTAAAAAATGTTTCATGGAAACGAACCTTTAAATGTTACGATGTGTGCTCGACAATGTTAACGTGACCTACCGGTTTCTATAGGTATGTGAAATTATAGTGTATTTGAATTAAATCGGTTAATTGAATTTTATACTATTTTGCATATTGCTTATATACACATAGAGTAGGATTTATGGGTAAATTATATTTGGGAAAGTGTTCTACAGTAGATTCAAGCTAATGCAATGCCCGATATTTCCATTGAAACGCCAGTAGCGGATATTCCATCAATACGCTATGCATTTATATCCGGCCTTAAGGTGTAGTATCGATCAAATCAATTATTCATCTGGAAATTTATTGAATAATTAGTTGTTTTTAATGCGATATCCAAAATTTGTTATGATATAGTTTCTGAGACTTATAAAGCGTATCCGTATGGATGCACGTTATGACAAATAGTTGAAATATTTTTTGCAATTTTTATTTGTCCTTTTATGAAAATAATTACACGTGCAAAGCGATACAACGCTACACGTGAAAGATGACCAGAAAGCGCATAAAGCTACTCGTTCGGGCCATTAATAAGCCCACATACGGGATTAAGCATATCGTTATGCAGCTTGTTATTTTGTTCGGTGGATGGTCGATCCTGTAATTCGAAGTAATTAATTTTCACGAACAAACTATGGTATCATAATGTTATAATGGTTGATAACGTCCACTGACAGAATTTGCAAATCCGATCCTCGAGTTCATTAATGAAATGCCAAAACCGTATGATGAAAATTGTGGAAAGCTGAAACTATAGAGTACTTACGATTTTCATGTAATTTATAAGGGAGTATCCATGGGGCCATGTATCGACGGACTCGCATGACAATGGTTTTATGTCAATTAATTGGGATTTGTCCAGATCGTGCAGTGCTTTGACAAAGAGATGCACTGCGTCGTACATGAGAGCGGTTTCGGTCTGAAAAAGCGAAAACTTTTGATGAATATTTATTCTCTGTTAAAATTGTATACCATTCCATAAACTACCGATCAGAAACGATAACAGCCATGATAGTAAAGCTTTGCAAGTGCTATTTTCAATGTGTTAAAAAGATATTCGGAAAGAAAGTGCAAATTTTGACAAATTCACATATATAGTACGACACATACATATATTTATTTAAAAAAATAGTCTAGTTAAAATATCTATGTGACGAATCAAAATACATTACGTTAATAACAGCTTTTCAATAATACACAATTCTTTTCGATGTTCAGCCCGCCTATGAATAATTAAAATTAAATAATTTAATCAGATATTAACATAATCCAAATTGTATAATTTCCGACTACTGCTAATTATTTAAAAAAATTATCGTGATGCATCAATTGCGAATCTACCCGATGGACCAATGAAAATTTATTTCAAATGTAATCTTCTGTACCGGTCTCCTATGCTTAGTACGTGATTCCATTTTAACGACCGAAAATGAATATAAAAGTAAAAAAAGTAAAAATATCCGTTCGGTAGTTTTGTACATATGCAATAAGGGATCTCGTAATTTCTGCTCTTTCGAGTAATTTGCGCAAATGTATAGCTGCGGTATCGAACGGCAGGACGTGAATGCGAACGAAGGAAACCTATAGTTATTGAGATAAATTTGCACTGTAAAGGCCGTTGCATACGTTGCACCGGTTATCGCTCATTTGCATAGATTCTTCATGCATCGCTCGTTTTTGTCCGATAGCGAGTAACTGCATGCAGCGAGCAAGATTTAACCCGTTGATTGAATGTACCACGTGTGCTCAATCCTTGATAAATGAAAACGTTAATTAATAATTAACACGCGTATATTTAGGTCATGCATATAGCCACAGGATTCTTATGAATTGTATTATGAATATTAATGTCTTACCTTTATGAACGTGAGATTGTCCTAATTTCAAGAAAGCATGTAAGAAAAAAAAACCATTAATTATTACATACTTGCTATGCGATATGATAATAATATTTTATCGTAACAAAATCATATGAGTAAATTGTAAACATGATTCCACGGGATGATGAAATTTTCATTATTTTTCAGTATTTTTTATAAAAGGCATCGAGAATGCCGGAACTTCAATTCATAACAAATAAAGAATTGATCGTGTACTCGGTGAGAGTCGCCAGTTGAAACTTCTTAGGATTTCAAAGGTATCCGCATGCATTACTCGGTAACCGATACTTTCGTTCGACAAATTGAAGAAGCACTGAACATATCTCGGAGTACGTTTCAAATGGAATTGCAGCCATTTCGAAGCGCAGCTCCCATCGTTTACGTGCACTTAGAGGGACGTCTTATATAAACCGCATGTCTTATCGAGAAACTATTACTTAGAAAGCAATGCTAGTGATATTCGAGCCATAATGCTAACGCGTAAGGATTTTAAAGTTAGTTTTGTTTTTGAATCCAGCAACGGTAGGTATACAATGTTAAAAGACATTGCTAAATAAAACTTGACATTGGAATAGAAGGATGTAATTGCATTACAATTAAATGGAGTAGTGCATACATTTGCAAGAGTTGCAAGAAATCTCATTTTCCTGTTCGAGTCAAGAAAGTAAATTACGTCTTATTAAGCTTGATTAACTTCCTGCTTTTCTACCCAGGTAAGCGTCAGGCATTTTTTTTTTGAAAATTCTCTGTAGCCAAGAACTATTGGGGTAGTACGAAACGTGTGGGGCATTTGAATGTCCATATATATTTTAATTCAAACATATAATAAAAATTATTTCATAATTTTTTATGAAAAAAAATCGTATTATTTTATAACGCGAAACTGAGGCACTTCATGTAAAAAGGCATAACAGGGACTTGAAAATATATTTTTACGGATGAACCGTGATTCCCTAGTAAAAAGTCTTCGTGGCGGACACACGCGTTTTTCACGTCTTATCATGAAAATCTCAACGACCAAACGGTTCGACGCGAAGACAGGAAGACAAATAAAAGAGAAGAAAAAAGACTGCGAGGAGCGTAAGAAATGTTTAAAATACAAGAATCCTAGATTTACTAACTTATACGAAACTTGTAACAGATCGTGGGCGAAAGAAATTTAATATTTTATTATTATGGCACCCCAGCGCTATCATCAATCTAGATCTAATTTTCCATGAAACTGTAAAGCGTGCAGCTTCACACTTTTCTCGTAAGTTAAAGGTCATTTACGAAAATTCGGAGCGCGTTGGAAGTACGTACTGGGGAATCAAACCGGGCACGTTCGGCCTTGCTCGGCACACGTCGCCGTGGACTCGTGGCAAAACTTTGACGAACTTTTCCTAGCCAGCCGGCAATCACTATTGCAGCTGACTGGCAATTTGCTTCGCCCTAAGAGAAAAGCACGGCGAAGCAGATGTTGCATGGTCGATCTTGCTTTACTTGAGCGACCAAACATCCAGCACTATTTCTCAACTTTCTTCTCATCAATTTCGAGACCAGATGCGGCCTAGTAATATTTACATCAGTTCAAAGAGCAAAAATGATTCCGACGATGATGGATGATCGACGCAAGATATACCTAGATCCTTGAACGTTCTCCATCACGAAGGTAGAGAAATGTCGAAGTAAAAAAAAAAAAAGTTTATAAAATCATAATCGACGTTATCGATCGAAATATAAGTCTGGATTGTTGCATTATTAAATCCAAGCAACCTAATTGGATTCACGTGCAGTCAGCCATTCTAAATTCTGCACGTATTATTAGAGACGCAAACTTTGATCGATAATTTCACGAACAAAGTTCACCTCCAGCGAGCAGATACTCAACCAATCCTTATCCTATTTTTGAGAAAAATCTCATCAAGATCTACGCGTAACTTCATTTATTTTCCTTTGCTTCTCCTACTTGTATCTACATTCGGTTTCCGCGATACATAAAACCAGAGCGGAAGTCATTTGTCTTGGAGGATCAAGATTTTTTTTTTCGTTTCTATTCAAGAGCTCGGATGAAATTTAAGTAAAACTCGACGACGACGGCGACGCTGGCCAGAGCGAGAATGGGACCGGAAGTAAGGGGAAAGAGAGAAACGGAAGAGACTCTTCTATTTTCGTAAAAGAATTCCGAGAGAAGATCCTTGCGATGACATTTGGAAAAAAAAATAAATAAAAATAAGACAAGACAAAAGATTTCCTACTTGAAAAATTACGTAGATATATCCACATCGGTAAAAACTACCCTTAAGTCCCGAACGAACTTATATTAAATATATTCGCCATGTTGACAATCCCAACCATATGCTGACCATGATAAATAATAGTGAAGCCTAAATTGGAATTATAACGCAAGTGATATTACGGTTTTCCGAAATCCAAAGGACCATTAAAATTTCCTCACTAACGAAAGTGCACCTGACATATATTGGGGTTAAATTTACCGGCAAACCTCTATATACATGCGTATCTCTCGATTTTACCGTATATTCGTTAGTATGCACTTACTACAGGCAACAGAGAGGAGTGTAAACTGCATAAGTAATTTCACGTCATAGACAATCTTAAATTAGAGCGTAAATGCTTGCAGGTGCAAAACCTTCGATATATCTGTATCTATAAATAAGCATACGTGAGTATCCACATATGAATGTCGCCACGTAGATTGCGAGTAACGTCAATCAATATATTCTATCTTCCTGTATAGATGTTACTATTCACTTATCAAATTCAACGAGCAAGTACGTCGCGCTCAATTAATTTACAGCAAATTAACTGTTCTCTTATCGTCCCGTATGACTGTTCATTCGAGTAAAAAAAATAATTCCTATGGTTCAGCCAAGCGTATTAACTCGAATCACGTATTCGTATCTGAGAATCATTGATTACTTGAGCTTTCGATTTTTTTCATTTCTCCGATGACGAAAAGAATATTCCGAGAATCCTTTGCCGAGGATTTTGATAAGGGAAGAAAGTACAATAGAGAGAAAAGATAAAGAGAAGCTCAAGAGGTTAAATAGTGCGCATGAAAGTAAATTATGATAATAGAAAAGAGAAACAAGGATAAAACAAAGAGGGTTGAATCAAGGCGAATTGAAAGATAGATTGTACCACTTCCGGTCTCTGCACTTCTGAAGACTGATAAAAAGATCGGTATTACCTTGTTGGTGCTTTGACCCATGTCGAGCTTGCGGCCGTAACGTTGCTCCCCGTAGATCCAATCACGGACGACCGTTTGAATCTCCGGCTTCTCGGAGTCGACCAATCGGAAGGCGGTGATATTGGTCCCGCCGTACTTGAATTCTTCCAGGTCAACGCTATGTAGGTCCTGGAAAGAAATTTCGTAGACTTTATGAATATCTATTACGGATAAGGCTGTTACATGCTACGTCAAGTTGAATACATTCCAAGGACTTTTTGAGTTTTCGGTCAACGAGTTATATTCGATTTCAAATCTGCCGCCGTGCCACGGTATTTTCACCTTTGACTTCACTCTAAAGGAAAATTCCACGTCACGTCTATATACGTAATGCCTCGAGCATAGTCGAAAGTAGCTCAAAGCGAGACAGTCGACATTTCACGACTGTGAAAATCATTTCTGTCTCTTATTCAGCTCGACCTCGTTAATTCTCCGCTTCTCCACGAATATTGCGACAAGGAACTCTACGAACTACGTGTACTTTACGGCTATTTCATATCATGCGATCGTATCTAACCTAACCTTCTGCGAAGGAGTACGAAACAGAGTCATGGCTACCTTGTAATTTAATAGCCCGACTTATATGGTTCGATCGATAAAGAAAAATTGTTACGTCTATAATATAAACGTTGATATATCTAGCAGTTTAAAGAAACGCGTGTACCTATTTTCGAGAATGACAATACGTTCTAGTTATTGATTGTTTTCTAATCTTGAGGGACCGTGCGAAATCGACAATCTTGTCATTACTCGGAAATGAAAAAAAAAGGGGTGGATGACGCAATGGTAGAGAAAGCTCAGCAGGCAGGAAGTGGAGCTGCGAAATTGCAACGAAATGTACATTCGTCGTTCGTCCGTAGGTGATCAATCATTTGTCTCCTGCAGATTGTATTTTTGTTTGACTGGGTAGAATATGAGGCGTGAGATATCATTTGGAAAATACAGAGGGATCCTGCATTCTTTTTCTTGTCAGGAGCACAATATTTCACATTCGCAAAAAGTTATCCTCGTATTATGGCGCTGATCGACATACAATATCCTACGTAGTATTTCGGAGGCGGCGGCCTGGCCTTACGAGGCTGGCTAAGCAATTAAAGAAACATCAGGACGCTTGCGAATTGAATTTGATGACTGACGTCATATCGCTTACATTAGAACTCCCAGCTTCGTTCCTTCATTCAATTTCATTTAACTCCTTAATACAATTGGCCTGTATGATTTTACTGCCTTTGAGGTCTTTTTTATTTGAATTCACAACGTCAAGAAAGAAGCTGTATGAGGATCGCGCACATTTCTCTGCAATAATGGTAACCGCCAAAGGTACACTTCTTGAGAGTTTGATCAGCTTAATTAGCGTCAGCAAAGCGACAGCAGTATATCTTGGTATTAAGGAAAGATGGGAAAGATAGATCTTACGGGAATGAGTAGAGAAACTGCGAATGAGGTAGAATTCCGAGCTTAAATCAGATTAATAGGACGGGTCTGAACCCAATAAGAAGAATTTAATGAGACGTGTTCGTTCGTCCAAAATTTCACTCGTACTCTCTGCTCTGGACGAATGCATGGCTCTTGCTACGTAGGTAATGTTGATGGATGACTACCGATCCTTTTTCGTCGGATGACGTTACGAAATACATAAAAGTAAACAGGCCGATTTGGAGCTATTAGTCGTGCGATGTATCACATCGTGATTTCCGAGCAATCCGTTTCCCTCGACGTTTCATTAGAATCAACGTGGCCAACGCTATAGTTCACGTCCGAACGTGACGAGATAACGAGATGAAAAAGGAATGTACTCCTGGAAGTTCTTTGGTAAATACGGTTCCTTTCCATAGCGAATCTTGAACCGGGCGTCGCTTCGTGGCGGCGAAACGCTCGAAATTGAATGGGGAATTGCTGGGAAGAAAGGGAAACGCTTGTACCACAAATTCCAATGCTAATTTACATTTTAATAGATCTAAATTGAAATCTAGTAAAGGGCGTGATAAATTTTGCGGTAAGCATGTCCCTTTAAAGTCCTATTTATTTTTATTGTTTTTCATCCATATCGTTTCCGCACGTCTGACACGCTACTGAAATTCTAAATAGCTCATTACGTTACGATTATTCTTATTGCGAGGAGAACGGTGAAAATATATTTTTTAGACAAGGAGACGAGATTTACATATCGTCCTGTATAGAATTTAGCTTCGACGTTGCCTTACCCATGCACTTTCGTGTATAATTGTGATCGTTAAGTAAAATCAAGCAGAAATTTTAGCGACGACTACAATTTTTGACTTAGCCAACTTAAATAAACGAACATATGGGCTGAAGGACCTCGGTCAATGGCCAATTGGCCTTCCGACAATTGCTCACACACCCTCACGAAATCTCTGTAAATACCAGCACATAACGGAAGGCCAATAAAGAACATTTACTACTACTAAATGAACATACGCGTGTCATGGCAGTGAAAGTCAGAAAATTGATGCAACGAAAAGGTAACTTGGAATAATGGCTTTTCTTTGACATTAGCTTAAGTATCGATTCGTTACTCGTAATATTGAGAATTTGTCTTGTTGCCTTCAACTGATTTAAGATTCAATGAATATTGCGCAATTGGATCATTTTTCGTTCATTATCAATTACTTCTTCTTCGATTTCCGAATTACGTGCAGAAGAGGATTTTATTTGTTTGCTCAACGATACAGTATGATATCAAAAGTTCCTCAGCGAATTCACGATCAAAGCAATGGCTACTCGGAATCAACGTACCGTGTCTCTGATACTCTTTTATTGTCGCGAGACTTTAGGATGCAAAGTTACTTTCCCGAGAGCATTATGCACGGTCCCACTGACTTTCATTATTTTGGACCTAAAATCGCATTTACTGTAAATCGTTAAATACGTCTTTATAGAAAAGTTACAGGTACAGAAATCGCACGTAATAGCAGTCCCGCTGAAAACACCTCAGAAGCCCTACTGAAAGTTCGCAAAAAATTTCGTTTGAGCGACAAAACGCTAACAACAGTATCTGGGCATAGGTCCAATATGGAGCGATAGAAAGAAAATTATTTTTCGTCAAAAGGAAGTCCATCAAGAAAGGGATTGAAAAAATGTACGTAGCAAAGAAAAAGTAACGAAATAAAACAATGTAGAAGCTTCGCTCGGCACAGTGCCCACGTATGTACGTGCGTGTGCGCACTGGCCTCCTATCCTTTCGATCGACCTGTCCAATTTCTCCTTTTGTGTGGTACACTCGGTGCCCCCTTCGCGCCCCACTGTAAATCAAGATCACGATCGAGCCTTTTACACCGTAACGACGATCAATCGTTTCCGGTGCTGTAAAACGAGAGACGAACCACGTTATATCGTTTCTGGCCAAATTCCAAAGACGTGAAAGTTCAGGAGGGTTGTAAGGAGAAAGTACAGAAGCTTGAGAATCTTCTCGTTGGAATTGACAAATCGAGAAAATTATTTCGCCCTGCTTGGACCAGCTGTAAATTCAAGTAAACGTGAAGCAGCGGTCACGTGGCTTGAGCAAGCTATTCTTAATTATGTTTACATTTAATTAGGACTTACCAATGAAGTGATAAGATAGCTGTGATAATCACTCATCATTCCAATTTGTTGCGCCTGCTTCAATACGTCGTAAATGCGGTCGGTCGAGCAGTCCAGAACAATATGAGATTCGGCTGAATTCTTGATCTGCTTAAGCAACGGTCTGCAATAAAAATTGTCATATATACGATGACGTCACTCCAGGAAATCGCGGGGTTCGGCGAGGTCAATTTAGCACGGACACGACCCTTCGAAAGTTGTCGATGTTTCGATCAATTTAGGTGCAGGAACATGTATCCAGAGCCTCCCTTGCTATACTACTAGGATATTCGTAAACATGGCCAAAGAGTCGCAACGCTCAATTCCCAAGATCAATAGGATAGCTTCCTCGGCATACTACTCGTTAAAATTTCATGATATACCCTCGGATCTCGTCCTTCTGCCATCATCCAACTTGCACGATAATGCGAACCTTCTTATGCAGCTCGTGAATGTTTCAGCTTGGTCGAATGTTCCATGCGACATACATAATTTACATTTGAGCCTTTTACGCAGCTAAGCTTCCACTGCGACATAAGAATCTTCACGTCGGCTGACACGTTATAATAATTTGAAAAGGTTCCAAAAGTTCTCACGCACTCTAATAGAATATTCGACGATATGACAAATTTCGGAGAAATCAATACGCATGTACGTGCTTCTCATACATTTATGAACGAAAAAGTTACTCGCTATGTGCATATGTTGATTTGACCATTTACAACTGATCTGATCGTTAAGGTAGGATTCAGCGAATCAGCTTAGACGTCACCTTGACCTGGCAACTTGCGTCTTGCGAAAAGCACATTAGACCTTGACGAAACTAGAAGTTGATAAACTTGACTGGCGGAGACTCGTTTAATGGGAAAATCTGGTACTAGCAGGAAGAGGCTGTGTAAAAAAAAAGACGAGGTAAAATAACGTCAAAAGTAGAAGTAGCAGCAGTATAGTTAACCGCGTCATGGCTGGATTCTCTTTTATCTCTCATCCCACCATACCCGTCAGCGATGATTATTTACGTTCTACGACGCGCTATCGCGAATCCTTTAGGGAGTCTTCCGGGTCGACAGGGTCGTACATAACTCCATTCCCCATCTACGGGAAAATCGGCTGAGCACGTGGCGCGCGGTTCTCTTGGAGGTCGCTCGTTATTCAGTTGTTGACAGAAGGACTTGTTAGGGCGGGACCCCGTCATAGCGGTTCGAGGAAAAGCCTGGAGGAATTTTAATCCGAAGAAAAACTGAGGAGAATGAAGATAGGTATTTCTCGCGGGATTTTTGTGGCCAGGGTAGATCAAGATGGTGGGTAGAAGGGATGGTCTCACGAAGAAAAGGAAAATAAATGACGGGAGACGTTCGCAGCGCCGCTTGCGGACCGCACGGACAACAGAGGAAATTACCTGTTTAATATTTGCGAATGCTCTGCCACCACCGAGGTAGACAAGACAGCTTCAAGAATTGGAAGGTGCCAAGGGAGTAGGATCTCCTTGGGCATTCTTTTTCTCTGTCGACGTGGGGAAACAAAAAAAAAATAGAAAACAGAGACAACGGCGACAAGTACGACGTCGTCATTCTGGTAGACGAGCTCAGATCCTTGAGACAATATCGCCACAGTCCTCCACGACACGTACAGTAAATCGTTTCTGTTTTCCACAATCCCCTTGTCCCTGTATTTCGATTGATAGGACCTTACTTCCAGTTCCATTTCTTCAACTGCCAATACTTTCCACCTTTCTACCCGATGTTACCTTCTGATTGTGTACCGTGCTCTCTGCAATTCGCCAAATGGTATGACGTTGCTAAGAGATATCTTTGGTTACGACAGTTCTATCCTGTAGCTCGCACTCGACTTCTGCGATACCTTAGATTTTCCAGAAAACGACACTTGATTCTCGATTTGATCCTATTCGATTTAACCGCAGACTTTCGCTCGACCCCACGGTCGTCGGTAACGTGACTTTCTATGAGATTCCATATAATTTTATTTCGTCGGTTTTACTTTATTGAGCTTTAAATATTCATGCTTCGGCTCACAATCACGATTAAAATACGTCTGTATAGATTTCGGTGAGTTTGAAAAGCGACTATCTATCTACTTACTCACAGATCAACCCCTTAGCTTTCTGACGATATATATTTTATGAAGAAACTAGCATAAGCCATATCTGTGCAAGATTTAATATTTTAAGAGAAATAAAAGTTTTTTGGTTGTAACTTATAACCCACGGAACAGGGCCTGTCCAATATAATGGCGTTGATATATTTGACGATTGGAGAACTGAAGTTTCTCAAAATTCAACCGGTATCCTCGCATTAACCTAATAGCCAATTGGAAGCTGACGCTCATTGATCTAGAGAAGGGTCTAGAACGATAGGTAACCTGAGTGGTCATGGATGGAAACCAAAGGGGCGGTCGGGTAGAAGAAGAGGATGAGCCATTAAACTACAAAACTACCCTGGAACTGTTTGATATCGTTCTTCGACCTAACCACCATCCCAACAATTCAATAATCCCCTAAGCATCACGAATTACTGCTCGTAGGTATCTGGACCTACAGTAGCATATTTCTTAATGAATATCTTTGACGGGGAGTAGTCAGGTCCGAAGGCATATCGTTTGATGTTCATCAGAGTACTCTATCACTGTCATCAGCCATCCACAAATTGCACATCTACTTTATACGAAAATGCAATATATCTTGTCGCGACGCATGATCCACATGTTGTCCCCGCTGTGAGGGGCGG